CAATTCAATTCAATTCAATTCAATTCTATTCTATTCTATTCTATGTGAGCTGACATAAACATTTATGGCATGTGATTTTACATCCATAATTTTTTTTAAAGCAACATTTATTCTACGACTCTCTAATTTTGAATAAATTGCCCTGCGTTTTTCAGAGAATCCAGGCGGCTTTAATACCGAACTAATGTATTATTGCATGGATTTTGAAGGATCATTACATCCAAGTATAAAATCTAATGTTGCAAAAACAGGTTCCTACAGCTAGCAAAATGCTTTTATGCAAGAAGTTCTTTTCAGGATGTGCCTAATACTCCTTCCTCCTCCTATTTTCCCCATAACAACAATTCTGTGGTTGGGCTGAGAGAGTGATTGGCCCAAAGCTATAGAGCTAGCTTTCAAGGTTAAGGCAGACAAGAACTCGCTGCCTCCTGGTTTCCAGCCTGGTGCCTTAACTACAAGAAAGTGCCACCCTCTGAAATGCACATTAAAGGGCTTGGAGAGGTTTGTAAAAACTGAAGAACAGGTGAAATCCAGAACGAAACCGCAAATGATTCATGATCCAGAGAAATCTGAGGGATTATTAGGAATGGGGGGAGTTGGGGAAATTGACGGAGGAAGAACGGAGTGATGTATCCTTAAGAGGGAGGGAAGAGTGCCCTTCCCAGCCTACATAATTTTGTTATAAATCCCATTTGTCTAGACTGAATTCTTTTTGGTATGTCAACTATGCACCCCTGTATCCAGCCATGTTTGTGTGATTTGGAGAACAAATGTATTTCAGAAGGGGCTCATGAAGAACTTCTTTTGAATAAGACATTCGCTTAGAAAATAAATGTAAATCAACCGCACAGCAATGTCTAAATTAAGCGTGACCCGACAAATGCGCGCCCGACAACAGCACGCTGACAAAACCGTGGTGATAAAACCGCAACGTCGACAGTGCGCCCACAAAGGCGCGCCGACAAAAGAGCGCCAACAGAAGCATGATTACGATTAAGGTAAAGGTTAGGGTAAGGGTTAGGTTCAAGGTTAGGTTTAGGGTTAGGTTTAGGGTTAGTTTTAGGTTTAGGGTTAGGTTTATGGTTACCTTTACAGTTAGGTTTAGAGCGCGCTTCTGTCGGCACGCTGTTGTCGGCGCACTTCTGCGCTCATTCGTCAGTGCGATTTCGAACTCACAGTTTTTTCCCCGTGGTTTCGTTGGTGCGCTTTTGTCCAGCGCGCATTTGACGGTGAACCTAAATTAAGCAGAGTCCAGATTCCAAACTCCGCATCTTTAGTTGGGCTCATTTATTATAAGCGTTCTGGAGACCACTCCGCTTTTCAGGTATACAGATTAACAGAATTGGAAGGGACCTTATAGGTCATCTAGTCTAACCCCCCCCTCCCGCTCAAGCAGGAGACCCTACACCATTTCTGACAAATGGCAGTCCAATCTCTACTTGAAAGTCTCAAGTGATGA